CTCCCATCGCGTAGAATTACCACGCGTGGTATTTCCATCGTTCTGAGTCACCACGCGTGGTGTTCCCTTCGCATAGAATTACCACGCGTGGTATTTAGGTCCCACTGTTCCTGTCCGAAGACAGAACGTTTCTTGCCGCGTCACATTCCGTTCATTTAACAGGATAAGAATTGAACGATATTTCATCTCGGTCGGATTAACGGCTCGTAAATCATGTCCGAAGGAACGGCACGAGACAAATTTATCGAGATTCTCGATTATTATGACGCATCGCTGCGAAAAACTTGCACGAATCAAATTTCCTTTCCCACTTTATATTTTCCGAATGCACCCTTCGAGTAATACCGTCGGGTCAAATTGGATGCTCTCCTGTCACTTTATTTATTCGTTCCTATGGTACCGTCGACGATAAGGAGCGTCAATTTCCTTCCAGCATTTTCTACTTAATGCAACGCGAAAGATCCGGGTGTATTATTCGTTCCGACATTTTTCTGAAAGTTCACACCGCCGTCTGACAGCCGTCGATTCTACTTTTGCTATTTAAAAGCAACGTCCCAGTCGCGGCTGCTTAAAATTGCATTTGCTATTCACGTCTGGCCTCGTTTGAAATATACCCCCGGCTGAATAAGAAGCCGAGCAGCTTCGCCGGAAAAGCCTAAAGCGATGGAAGACACCCGGGCAACAAATTTTACTTGCATGAACGTGTCGCGACATTATACAAATTTTCCCCAATCAACTTTTTCTGCTCGGTGGATGCTCCCGTCTTCGTCTTATTATCCTTTAGTTCGTTTCTGGGACACTGCGGATCTTGTTTTGATTCGGTAGTGCGAAGGACTCTCGGTATATGACCGCGTAAACGTGTTCTAAGTGATGGTCTTTGCGGGAGTGGAAGATTTATTGAACTGCGGATCTTAGACTGCGATGCGTTGCGACTTGATGGATTATTATGTCAGTAGTTGTTTCACTGGAGGTGATTCCATGCGTTAGATTGCCATGGGTTGCGGTATCATTACATTATGGTCTTACGCGGCGCATCACCACGCGTGGTAGTTCCATCGTATCGAATTACCACGCATGGTATTCCCTTCGCGTAGAATTACCACGCGTCGTATTTCCATCGTATCGAATTACCACGCGTGGTATTCCCTTCGCGTAGAATTACCACGCGTGGTATATCCATCGTATCGAATTACCACGCGTGGTATATTCATCGCATCCAATTACCACGCATGGTATTCTCATCGTATCGAATTACCACGCGTGGTATATTCATCGCATCCAATTACCACGCATGGTATTCTCATCGTATCGAATTACCACGCGTGGTATATTCATCGCATCCAATTACCACGCATGGTATTCTCATCGTATCGAATTACCACGCGTGGTATATTCATCGCATCCAATTACCACGCATGGTATAGTGTTCCCTTCGCGTAGAACTACCGCGCGTGGTGTTCCCTTCGCATAGAATTACCACGCGTGGTGTTCCCTTCGCGTAGAATTACCACGCGTAGTGTTCCCTTCGCGTAGAACTACCGCGCGTGGTGTTCCCTTCGCATAGAATTACCACGCGTGGTGTTCCCTTCGCGTAGAATTACCACGCGTAGTGTTCCCTTCGCGTAGAACTACCGCGCGTGGTGTTCCCTTCGCATAGAATTACCACGCGTGGTGTTCCCTTCGCGTAGAATTACCACGCGTAGTGTTCCCTTCGCGTAGAACTACCGCGCGTGGTGTTCCCTTCGCATAGAATTACCACGCGTGGTGTTCCCTTCGCGTAGAATTACCACGCGTGGTATTCCCATCGCGTAGAATTATCATGCGTGGTATCACCACGTGTTGAATTAACATCTCCACGCGCTAAGTCACCGAATATCGAATCAACGCATGTATTTTCCATCGCACACGTGCACCCCTCGGCAATATACCGAGAGTCCACAGTTGTTCCATCGAGGTCAATGCAGCCCCCCAACCATTTCCGTTCAAATATGCAGTGTTAAATGTTGACGCCGGTCTACTTTTAAAGCAAACTCCCGTGACATATTCTGAGATGATTTTGTTCGTTTTCCAAACACTTGCGTCAATTTCCTCGTTACGATGACCTTTGACACAAGAATAGAATAGCGTCGCCATATCTGAAGCTGGATTAATAATTCCAGTGACGTGGCTAGCTGAGCAAGAAGTCATCCTGCGGATTAATTTCGAACAAAGTGTCGTATTTGGCGACCACGGTGAAATATTAACGATTGGCCCGTGGATATGATCCGTAAAGGTTTTCAATCTCACGTGTGGTATTTCCATCGTGCTGAGTCATCACGCGTGGTGTTCCCTTCGCGTAGAATTACCACGCGTGGTATTCCCATCGCGTAGAATTATCATGCGTGGTATCACCACGTGTTGAATTAACATCTCCACGCGCTAAGTCACCGAATATCGAATCAACGCATGTATTTTCCATCGCACACGTGCACCCCTCGGCAATATACCGAGAGTCCACAGTTGTTCCATCGAGGTCAATGCAGCCCCCCAACCATTTCCGTTCAAATATGCAGTGTTAAATGTTGACGCCGGTCTACTTTTAAAGCAAACTCCCGTGACATATTCTGAGATGATTTTGTTCGTTTTCCAAACACTTGCGTCAATTTCCTCGTTACGATGACCTTTGACACAAGAATAGAATAGCGTCGCCATATCTGAAGCTGGATTAATAATTCCAGTGACGTGGCTAGCTGAGCAAGAAGTCATCCTGCGGATTAATTTCGAACAAAGTGTCGTATTTGGCGACCACGGTGAAATATTAACGATTGGCCCGTGGATATGATCCGTAAAGGTTTTCAATCTGGGTTACCAGGAACCCGCGAATTATTTATCCGCAGTGAACACTGCCGGCTCGATATATCGTATGACCGTTGAATACGTTCCAAGCTGCTATTCTTTTTTAATCTGCCACGTAAGGATCTATAAGGACTCTCCTCGTGATATTTTTAATTCCACTACACACTCGACAACTGGCATTAAAAGCTTTGTCCTTCTTCGTGGAGTGCTGGCTGTTTCAGATTCCTTTCGCAATTTCGATTTCGACGAGACTAATTGAACGAAGGGATAGATAATTTATTAATGGAAATTTGCCTGGTAAATGTTTGATTGACCCATCCGAAAGCATACTCCTACAATGATTAATAAAGCACTTTGATACAGGACACAATTTATTAGCCGCGACAAGCGTTAATATCGATTTTAAATGAAACCAGTTAACTGCCAGTGTTTGCGATGTCTCGAATTAATTATCAACGTGACAACGCCCTTTCAACGTCTCTAATTAATCCCTTAGGGGCTCTTATTTCGATTTATCGAGTTACAAGGGTAAATTAGCCCTCTTGTTTTTAACAAACAATGGAACTTCGTCGTAACTCGATCAATCTTCCAGGAAACCGACGAACGAGGAGTCTGAGTGGCCACCATATTCGAGGGATCAACCACAGTATTTTATCTTCGACGCGGAGAGAACTGGCCTTGGAAAAGGCCCACGCACCACGTCCTGCGCTTTCTGGAACGAGTTTCTGCCGAGGTTGAAGGGAGTACCAGGTGGGAAGCCATTTTGTATCACCTGCTCGAGTTACATTTTCTTGGACCTTTTTCTTCTATCCATTTTCCTGTTCCATTACTTCGTCGTTTCCCTTTCCACGTTACTATATTACACACTATATCACTATACTCTTTCATTACTGCGTAATATTTCTTCGTTTAGAGTACACTTTTACTTGAGATTCAAGCGGAATTCAATACTTTGTGATTCTAGTAGATGCTCGAATATTTAGGTTCAAGTTTAGGCATTCGACTATTCAAGTTCGAGCTTGGATATTTGAGTAATCAGATTCAAGTTCAGATATTCGACTACTCAAATTCAAGTTTGGATATTCGAATACTCAGATTCAAGTTCAGATATTCGACTACTCAAATTCAAGTTTGGATGTTCAGATACTCAGATTCAAGTTCAGATATTCGACTACTCAAATTCAAGTTTTGAATTCCGAATTCCTCGAATATTTTTTTCTACTCAGAATTCATCCGATACGACAAATTCAAAGAAGAATTCAAAGAAAAAAACCAGATAAAATTTTTTCCCAAAACTGGATTCGAACCCTGGACAGTCAGATTCGAAAGCAGGCGCGTTATCCAGAGAGCCACTAAGGTTCTCAAAGAATAATTCGTTATTTCCAGTACTTCCTCCACGCACATAAGTTCTGTTACGAGCGATTTGCATGCGACACGCACAAGTCGACGAAACGAAACTTGAGCGCACAATTTCCATCGGTTTATCGTGGCATGTTCGCCGAGGCGGGTTTCATTTGTCATTCTCTCCTTCAGACATCTCGGTGTCCTTGCTGCGGCGAGATCGATGCCTCGTTTACTTAATGCATTAGCAGCCCTCAACAACTGGTCGGCTACTGAAATTATCTGCGTGGGGCTATCGGCGATAGGCGGGGCTTCGATAAATAATTCAAGCCCCGACGGATCGATACCCACGAGATTTTCCGTGTTCCCCGCATTTCGTTATCCGAGCGGTTGTTGTTGTTGCGTGACGTTCCAACACTGCTGCTCTCATTTCGCATTCGCTCGCATAATTCCCCGCTTTTGTTTGTTCGAGATTGTTTCGGATTAATCCCGGTGTTTGATCGAACCGAACGACGACGCTGTTGCATCTCCCATTTTCACCTTACACTGTTTCACGCCTCCAATCGGATTACGTGTATTTTACTTTTCTCGGATTAAAATTATACTCGATATTCCGTTAGCGTAATTTATTAAACCGTTAGGGTAAATTGAAGGTTCTGCCCCAGAATCGTGACGGTGCACTTAATACGAGGACAATCGGAGTCACGACAGAAAAGTTCGAATAAAACACAAGACTTAGCATGTGATTAAGCAAAAATTAGGCTAAACCAGCTTCAGAATTACGGCTGTCAGATTAGTGTAAGGTCAAGCAAGAGTTAGCATAATAGAATAAAGATTAGTTAGGTTAGCACAAGGTTAAGAATTACCTCGGTACAAAAAAAGTTAGGGTAATATTAGTCACATTAACACACGGTTAGCATTGATTCCGCCATTATCTGCGCATTAAATCTGGAACAGATGTGACTCATGAATAAATCATTGAAACTCGCATTCAACGTTAACTTGGTTTTGCATAATTAGCTAGATCAGAAAGTTGCGACACCGGTTTTTACTTAGTTTCTTTGTTCACGAAGATGAGACGCGAACCAAGAAGTGTTACGACAAAAAATAATTAATTAAAGTTCCATACGAAATGGCAAAAACCTGGTATCAATTAAACAGACAGAAGAGGTAGGTTCGAAGAGCAAATCGTTCGCGTTTCGCGAAGCCTGTCGAATCGAAAAAGAACGAAAGCTGCGAAGGTAATTTCTTTCCGGCGACAGTGGGTCAGGCAGCTTTTTCAAAGGCTGATCACCGGAGATCCATGAGAATTGGCTCGACCGCAGAAGACTAGAGCCACTTGCAATTCCCAGATTAATATCGGAAAACCGAATACACCGGGCTTTCTTCTTTGCACAATCCGGCCCACTCGTATGGGAGTTGTCCGACCACGAAATAACATATCCGTTGCTGGTACATCGATCACCTCGAGCACAACGGTATCGGTTCCCCTAATTTCAAAGCCGGAATGACCCGGAACAATCTTGGCTCGCCTTGATTCGCGTTTAACTTTCGTCGTTAAACCCGAGAAATAACTCGTGGCATTAGTATGTACGGCAGCTACCAATTTCCTCGTCGCTTTAATTAACAGGACACTTAAAGCTCGCCCCTAATGGCGTCCAAATTACTGCACCTCTCGTTTCTTTCGAGAACCACCTGCGACAACGGGATCTCGCTCGAGACTCTCGTTATATCGCCGCAAATGGGTCTGTAAATTGGAAATCGGGAATTAGTGGCACAGGGACGATAAAAGAAGGACGCATTAGCGGTGGAACAACGAGTAGCGAACACGGGACGATTTAACGCGAGGCAATATGGCACATTGTAATTTCAACGCGTTGTAATTTCTCTACGTGACAATACAACGCGCTGTTATTCCACCGCGTGACAATGCGACGCACGGTATTACCAGCGCGTGCCAACTTCCGCGCGTGACGATGTGGAGCATAGTAATTCCTGCGCGTGGCGATACAACGCGCGATAACTACTGCGCATGGTAATTACAACGCAGGGCGATGCAATGCGTGGTAACTATGGAGTGTGGAAATGTGGGGCGTTGGAATTCCAACGTGTTGGAGATTGCGGCGCGTTAGGGTATGGCGCGTGGAATTTTGACGCGTGGAAATACGACGCGTAGAGATCCGGTGCTTGGAATTATGGCGCGTGGAGATCCAGCGCGTGGAAATACAACGCGTGGAGATACGGTGCTTGGAAGTCCAGCGCGTGGAATTACGGCGCGTGGAATTCCAGCGCGTGGAAATACGACGCGTAGAGATACGGTGCTTGGAATTACGGCGCGTGGAGTTCTAGCGCGTGGAAATACATCGCGTGGAGATACGGTGCTTGGAATTACAGAGCGTGGAGTTCCAGCGCGTGGAGTTCCAGCGCGTGGAGATACGGTGCTTGGAATTCCAGCGCGAGGAGTTCCAACGCGTGGAGTTCCAGCGCGTGAAGATACGGTGCTTGGAATTCCAGCGCGTGGAGTTCCAGCGCGTGGAGTTCCAGCGCATTGAGTTCCAGCGCGTGGAGTTCCAGCGCGTGGAGATACGGTGCTTGGAATTCCAACGCATGGAATTACGGCGCGTGGAATTCCAGCGCGTGGAAATACGACGAGTAGAGATACGGTGCTTGGAATTACGGCGCGTGGAGTTCCAGCGCGTGGAAATACAACGCGTGGAGTTCCAGCGCGTGGAAATACGGCGCGTGGAATTACGGCACGCGGAATTACATCGCGTGGAAATACGACGCACGATAATTCCAACCCATACTAATTCCAGCACATAATAATTCCAGTCCGCGCTACTATTACGCACAGTAATTCCATCGCGTGATAATATGGCGCACAGTAATTCCATCGTAACACCATCACACAGTAATTCCCTCTCACATAACGCACAGTAACAGTAATTTAATACGTAAAAATCCTGAAACCCGGAAACTTCACACAGATATCTAGCATGCAGTAATTTTAACGTAACGATCTCTTCCGCGTCCTTGTAATACCGTAGAGGCCTATGGATTACTGAAATGCTTATTCATCCAGCAATTTTACACGGACAGTTACCAAGGGCGGTCACAGGGAATAGAATATGAGACATTCGATCAGTTAGGACGGTGAAAAGGATGATGATTGAAGGTGTTCGAATATTTATACCGCACTAAATGAACGCGAAACGAATTCTCTCTGTTCTTGGCAGCCATTAACGAATGGCGCGACTGAAATTGCTGCTGGGCTGCTAATGAGCTCGGGTAATTGGATGAATTAAGCGTTTCAGTGTTGAAATTGGTCCCTGGCGAGTATGCGAGGCGGGAGTGTCACGCTGCTTCATTTTAGAAAAAGTCATGGCGAAATTTGATTAATTAAACACTGTGTATCGAGTTTTGTTAAATGTTATTAACTGCTTTTTGTATATTTTCCTACTCTGCATCTCTATAATCCTACTTCATAATCCTTTATACACACAGTTGTCACACTGCTTCAAATTACTGCATCATAAATCTTTGTCTCGACTATAAGACTCCTTCCTAGTCTCCGTTAACAATAACCCAACTAGTAACACGTTGTAGTAATTCGCTACTGCAATTCCCTCAATTATTTACTTCCTAATGTCCCAATACTTAATCCCCGTGCCTTATTTCCTACCCTGCTAATAAGTCCCCGCATTCTAATCCTTGTCTAACCTCGTATCCTCTCGTCCTAACTTAATACCGCGTATCCACCTCCCAATCTTCTGTTTCCTATTACTACCCCAGAAGCATTATACCTCGGAGCCCTGAACGCAATGTTCCCATTTCGCATACTTCCTGGATTCCTTGGCTCCCTCGTCGCTTGCACTTTCATCCTATCTCCTCTAACGTTGCCTGCGAGTTCCCCGAACATTCCGCGAGCTCTACTCTCCTGTCGATGTTACAGATCCGATACAGGAGTCATGCAACAGCGCGATAGCCTCGAGTGTGTCAGCGGGGGCCGAGAATCTGCGCTACACCCTGGCGATCATGGTGCTATCGTCGATCCTGGCGTTCTCGAGAGTCATCTAAAACCGTAAGAGGGACACAACCGGTATCGATCGACCCTTCTCTGAAAGCCGCCAGCAGTCCGGGCTTCGAACAGTAGGTTTCAGGTTCAGGATCTCGTTAGCGGTTAACAGGCTGTTAATCGTCGGGTAGATCAATGGATCCCGGGACCCATCAGCGTCAAACCGCGGCTACTTTTCTCCCTTCCGAACGAAAAAGATAACCCGAAGGAACACAAGCTGATTCCAGTTGATTCCAGATTTACGAGCGAGTTTCTGCAGGGACTTAACGGAGGATTAAGCAGGGCTTCCTAGTAAGCAGTCGCCATTCTGGCCCTCCTCTACACCGTCTTTCCTCGACCAAACAGATTTCATCCAAACGGATGGGATTCAGAGATTGATGACCGGGCTGCCGGAAAAACCGGGACGCCTTAACGACCCTGTCGCGCACTCAAGGTTGCACCCATCAACTTTTAACGTCCCACGAAATTGGAATCCTCGATAAAAAGGGAATCATACTCTTGTCACAGATGCTGGACCTATGGACAGTTCCCCGTAAATTCATAAGAATAACGTCAGACAGGGATACAGAATCTCAGCATGCAAGTTTCTAAACATGTACCCTATAGCTCCATGTAGAGCTATGGTAGCCACCAGGGACGAAGTTACAAAGCTGTCCTACTAATCTCATGGCTCTAACTCCATCAAGAACCATGGTGTAACCTGAAGATCCTAAGGCATCCAAACCCCATAACAAATGTCACAGCAGCCTGCGCAAGACAACATCCGAAGCTTCTATCGTGGATGAAAGTTCTAAATTCATAAGAATAACGTCAGATAGGAATACAGAATCTCAGCATGCAAGTTTCTAAACATGTACCCTATGGATTAGCTCCATGTAGAGCTATGGCAGCCACCAGGGACGAAGTTACAAAGGTGACTAATCTCATGGCTCCATCAAGAATGCGACCACATCAACCATGGTGTAACCCGAAGATCCTAAAGCATCCAACGTGTCACAGGTGTCACAGCAGTTTGTGCAAGACAACATCCGAAGCTTCGATCGTGGATGAAAGTTCTAAACGTGTACCCTATGGATTAGCCCCATGTAGAGCTATAGCAGCCACCAGGGACGAAGTTACAGAGGCGACCTACTAATCTCATGGCTCTAACTCCATCAAGAACCATGGTGTAACCCGGAAATCCTAAAGCATCCAAAGCCCATAACAGATGCCACAGCCTGCGCAAGATAACCGAAGCTTCGATCGTGGATGAAAGTTCTAAACGTGTACCCTATGGATTAGCCCCATGTAGAGTTATGGCAGCCACCAGGGACGTAGTTACAAAGCTGACCTAATCTCATGGCTCCATCAAGAATGCGACCACATCAACCATGGTGTAACCCGAAGATCCTAAAGCATCCAAGGTGTCACAGGTGTCATAGCAGCTTGTGCAAGACAACATCCGAAGCTTCGATCGTGGATGAAAGTTCTAAACGTGTACCCTATGGATTATCCCCATGTAGAGCTATGGCAGCCACCAGGAACGAAGTTACAAAGGTGACTAATCTCATGGCTCCATCAAGAATGCGACCACATCCACCATGGTGTAACCCGAGTATCCTAAAGTATCCAAGCCCCATAACAGGTGTCTCAGCAGCTTGCGCAAGAAAACCGAAGCTTCGATCGTGGATGAAAGGAGAGACGATTGTAGAAGAGCGGATTTGAATAAAAATAGACGGGACACGGTCTGCGGGCATGCTCGTCGGTCTGATTCAAATGATAATACCTCCGTGATCCGATTTGCATAAATAATACAGAGAGCAGAGCTGACCGATCGATACGGCTCCGGGTAAAAACGTGTTTCCGTTGGGACGGCTGGTGGCAGTAAACAGTCGGTTCGCCGCGATTAACCACCTGTTCGTGCAATCGATGGACTCGTGACAAAAGTTTCATCAGTAAAACGAGCAACAAGTGCGTCGTTTTGCATAAGAACGAGGGGGGAGGTCGCGAACGATCGCTTGGATCCCGTCCAAAACCTTCGCTGCGTCGTTCCTCGATTCTTCCCGATGGTTCGAACGCTTTAAATCGATCCGGAGCTTTATGCTCGATCTCAAGCACAAGCTTTGTGGAGGATCGCTGCCTCTGGATAAGCTTCGGGGAGAAAAGTTGCGGAACGATTTGGCGCAAGTTACAAAGTGAAATTGCCTCGAGATTGTCAGTCTCGTTCCGGAAATAACGATTTGGGAGGCCATGGAAAGTTTCGGAGACGAGAATATTCGAGGAGGGCAAGTTCGGAAATCTTAAGACTCGATTAGAGATCGTTCCGAGTCGATAATTGCGGCGGTCATAATTCCTAGCGAACCAATTGCAAATTGTTACGATTATTTGGTACGACGATCGAGAAAGCGAAAAGGATATCGATAAAGTACGGGCCATTAGAAGGCTGGAGGACTCTCCATAGATAGCTCTCGAAAATTCAACGGGTTAAGTGCAGACTGGTGTCCTCGAAGCTACTCGACAACACCTTCAAACTGGGAATACCGCTTGCCGTAACGAATAACGGGGAGGTGACAGGAGGATGAGAAGGGACAGAGACGCGGGATCGTGTCAGTTTCCCAAGGAATTTACGCTCCGCTTCTCCGCCTCGCGAAATTGGACAAACTCGCTTCTTTCGAGCTTTCGAAATCGTTATAAATAAACTCCCTGTCTCGTTGATGTCTTCCCGAGTTCACCGGAAGTCTCCTCGCTGTTCGCGTCGTTACCGTCTTAAGGATCTCGAGGACTCCTTCGAGGAGACTGCTCTCAGTTTCGACGTCCGGAAGAATTTAATGAACTTTCTGCAAGATACTTTTATTTTCGCGATCGAGATAATCATATTCGTGTGCGCAACGGGGACCACCGCGAAGAGGATCAAAGGGTCGACCCCCATAAATTGAACGTTCAAGCGTGTATGAAGGTAGTCATCGGCATGGAGGTTCCGAAGGGTGCATATCCCGTAACAAGCTTATGTCTGTCCATGACCTCAGAGACTGTGGTCTCGTAGGATAGCAAACCTAAAAAATGACGAATCCTGTGAGGGTGGTCAAGACTTGATCACTTGGACCCCATAAAAATGCTGATGCTAGTAAATAAGGTAGCCTATGAGTTGATCTACATCGGTGTTTAGCAATCTATTCTCCGAGTTTCTACTGTTGGAAGCTAATTTGAAAGTGTCGAAACGACAATAAATGAACGGAGAAGAGCAGTCACGGCCTAACGTAGTCTTCTACGATCGTACAATCATTTTCCATTGAAGGTTCCACGATCTATCCGGAAGAATCGACGAGGAGGACTGCACGAAACTCGTTCGGAATCATGGAACTCCCTCGAATCACACTTCGACCCTTAGAACGATGTAAAGAGAACCTCAAAGATTAACAGACGAGCTCAAGAGGACCACGATCGCATAAAGGGACACCACCTTTGATCTGGACTTTCAAGATGGGCACAGCTAACATGACAATACCGTCGGTGAAGTAAACGTTTAAACAAGTAGATAAATTAAATCGCTAGGAGATAAAAGCAAAAAAAACGTACATACAAAGTTTAATAAAAGTAGAACAAAAGGGATTTTAAAAAAGAGCTTGGATAATCCGCCGGGAGAAAGGAGTCCAGGTCAAATTTTCGAGGTAATCTCGAGAATGAAGGGACAGGCGTCAAGGGTGCAGAATTTAATAAAAAAAGTTGCAAACACGGTTCTTTTTCTCGAATCGATTCTATTCTATGAAATTAACACATTGCCAATAGCCTACTTTTTCTCTCCGCCATTTTATATTTCTAAGCTGCTGAAATGTTCTGCGTTTGAAAAAAGACCCTAACGTTGGCAGTGTGTTAACGTTAACTTACGAGCAAAAATTTCGTTTCCACCGCTTTCGGAGGAGCAAAAGGGAGATAAAAAAGGTCCGCGCACCCCTGAGGCAGACAAGGGTTAACCGAGAAAATTGGGGAGGATAACACGATTTCTTCGGCTTCAGGCTGTCAGAGATCACAAATATATATATATACATATACATATACATATAATTAACGGCAAAAAAATGGCACCTCGTGAATTAATCGTGAACACGTTAAAAAAAAATAGAACTTAAGAGATGTATTGTTTAAGCGATGTACATATACGTATACATATTATTACATATGATCTATAAATACGTGAGAAGACACACGCAGCTGTATATCTGAGATTAAGTGTGCCGTCGAACAAGTTGACGTAGAGACGTACCTAACGCAATTAAGGCACCCGTGTAATTTGCTCCGCAACGTAGCTCCACGTACACGCATACACAGCGACATTTAGCCACGGTATCGATTAAGATAGATCGTTAAGGGCCGTCATTTCGGTGAAAGATCAACCAAGAGCGATCGCTTCGCCCGAGAATAACAGGGAACAAACTGTTCGAGGATACATTTTGTATGGGACGTGCCCTGTGAGAGGATATCCGCGCAAATTGCTGGACATGGATCCGTTAGGGATTTATGACGGAATAGGGAAGCTGAGGGTGGCCTATCGATGTTCACGCTTCCGAGGATTATTTCAAATTGGGTGCATAATTTTGAAATTTTGTAGATTTAAGAAATTCTGGGTCACATTTGAGCTTAAGGGATGTGACTGGGGCCTAAAGCGTGACCTAACTTCGTGAGCTGATTAGGATTCAGGAGAGGTATGATCCTTGAGAATACCTGGAAGCATGTGGAGTAGGATTTGGGGTTTGAAGGAGTAGGGCCTAACACAGAGACCTATCTAGGTTAGTTGAGTAACAGGATTCAGAAAAGGTAATGATCTTTGAGAATAATTTTCGAATGTGGAATCATTTGGGTGTCAGTATGGCCACGCGGCGTAATTCCACGCGCCATATTTCAGCGCACTGCGATCGCCACGCGTTGGAATTACTACGCGTTGGAATTACTATGCGTTGGAATTACTACGCGTTGGAATTCCTACGCGTTGGAATTGTCACACGTGGTATTTCCACGCGTCGTAATTCCACGCATCATATTTCAGCGCGCTGCGATCGCCACGCGTTGGAATTACTACGCGTTGGAATTGTCACGCGTGGTATCTCCACGCGTCATATTTCAGCGCGCTGCGATCGCCACGCGTTGGAATTACTACGCGTTGGAATTACCACGCGTGGTATTTCCACGCGTCGTAATTCCACGCGTCGTATTTCAGCGCGCTGCGATCGCCACGCGTTGGAATTGTCACGCGCGGTATTTCCACGCGTTGGAATTCCACGCACCGTAATTCCACGCGCCATATTTCAGCGCACTGCGATCGCCACGCGTTGGAATTACTACGCGTTGGAATTACTATGCGTTGGAATTACTACGCGTTGGAATTCCTATGCGTTGGAATTACTACGCGTTGGAATTACTACGCGTTGGAATTACTAGCGTCGTATTTCCACGCGCCGTAATTCCACGCGTTATATTTCAGCGCACCGCGATCGTCACGCGTTGGAGTTACTACGCGTTGGAACTACTACTCGTTGGAATTACTACGCGTTGGAACTACTACGCGTTGCAATTACTACGCGTTGGAACTACTACGCGTTGGAATTCCACGCGCCATATTTCAGCGTACTGCGATCGCCACGCGTTGAAATTGTCACGCGCGGTATTTCCACGCGTCGTAATACCACGCCCCGTATTTCCACGCGCCATATTTCAGCGCTCTGCAATCGCCACGCATTGGAATGTCACGCGCAGTATTTCCACGCGTCGTTACCTGTATCTGGCTAAGTCCTAACTGACCAGGTTTCACATAAGCCTACCACAGTCCCTGAGTAGTATTCAATCCCGGTGGATAATTTTTTGATTTGGAAGCTTTAGAAACTCCTATAGTAAAATTAAAGAGCCCTAGAATGACCTGTATAAGGCCTAAGGTAGATTGATTTAATATTAATAGATTCTTAATTGATTTCCTTTTGAAATGAATATTTTTGCAATATGATCAGTGGGCCTAAAGCATCGTATAAGGTAAACTCGTAGAACTTCCAGATTCAGAAAGGGCTAATTTGTTAATTAAGCTTCAGAAGCTCCGAAAGTACGACTGTCGATTTAATATTCCATGTAGCTACCTCTAAATAACTAGGGACCTACATTCGATGTACAATTTCCGAATTAAAAAGACTTGGAAAGCTTCTATAAGAACTCGCTTCAAGATGACGCTTCTCAAGCTTCCAAAGTTGCCGCCTATCTAAAACAAACACACGAACGAGCTTAAAACGAAGGAACTGGAACAGTTTGCTCTGGTCTCGCGGCAAACGCGTCGCTGAAACATGAATCTTCCATTTGGTACATATCACCTATATAAATACGTCATATATAGCGAGAGTTGATCGTTAGTGATCTTTTTTCGTAGCATCGAGTCTTTAATCATCGTGCGTGACACCGTGATAAAGTACCGCGAGCAGAGACAAAGGATTCGGTATTTTGATTAAAGCAGAACAAATATTTTCTACCTAGTTGGCTCTAAACTGTCGAAATCATCGATCGTTTCGAGCAACGATACTACGTTTATCGCGAACCAGGATTTTTCATCAAATTTAACCCTTAAATAGTTGTATAAACGCAACATACCAGTTTTAATCTCATAAATTATATACAAAATGTAGGAAACCTGCTAGTGTTGCAGATATGCAACGTACCAATCAAATACACAATAGCGTCATCTGTTCGTTTTAATTTGAATCGACCGCTTTCAAGGTATTTTATTAGTTGATAACTTTTGGTAAAATTAGAAAATCATGCATTTAATATTCGCGAGAAACGATTAGTAACGTTGCCGAGACACTAAACGCAGAGCCGTATATATACGCTTTTCCAGCGTCCAACGCACTCATCTCATTAAAGATTAAGCACGTCCTCACATATCATTAGTTAATTACCCGAGTGTTGTCGTGAAAACTTAATGTTAGGATTAGTGCCTCGACGTGAAACACGCTCGGACCATTTTCGTCGATGGACTTCTCGAACCGCGTTCGGGGACAAATTTAACTTTCCACTCCTTAACTTCTTTTTAAAAATTAAGCTTGGTATATTGCAACAGGAGTATGTGACAAATTACTCATCCATTATAAACAAATTATATATTCAATCAATATTTTATAATATATTAAACCAATAATATATTAAACCAATCTGTTCAAATTTATAAAATTAAAGAGAAATGACGAGCCACACTTAGTGCAAAGTGCAAAGGGCTAAACAGCGAGTTGTCTCGTCGAGCCAATCGTCAAATAACGTCCCAGTTAAAATGTGAAGCTGCTCGATTATCATTAATTAATAACTTCTCAGAAATTTGTCTGTGAGTCATTTTCGATGAGAAAATCTTTGAAGAAAAAATATTTAAAAACAATAAAGGCAAAGTTCGTGAAAGTCCGTAAAACGAAATGGGTCACTATTTGTCTGTAGATAGTTTGTTCCTGCGTGTACGGTTTATAGCGTACAATTCACGACGATCGATGCCGTTCAGGATGTCACCGACTCGACAGCGTGGCGTCCCTGAAGAGTCACCGGTTCGAATTAAAACTATGAAAGCAGATATTGAGTTGTTTCTGTTCGAGCCTAGGTTCTAAACCCGTAAGAAAAGTAATTAACAGAGAGACTATATATACACAATATATTTTTCGCTATTGAAATTATCGCTTCTCGACTCTCGACAGGCCTAATTGTCACTTGGACGGAAAAAGAGTACGCTTAAGCAGTCACGACGATTGTGAATCGTCGCGAACGGTGTTTCTGTACAAATACGACGCAAGGAAAATTGATTGGAAAATGAGAAAAACAGAGACAAACGAAAGGAAATCGAGTGCGGTCATTTCGCTAATTAAACGACTCGATCGCGCGTAAACGCAACGCGAGCCAGTTTTCGTTTCGGTGACGTTTGCGGTTGTTTCGTCCAGCGTCGATGCGTTTCGAGTGTCCTGTGTGTACCGATATCGACCCGACGACAAAGCCAATCCCGGCAAATTTATTCCGTGCCCGGTAATCAACAGTTTATCAGTTCTCGATTCTTGTCCGCGCGTGACCCAACCTGAACTCCTTCACCGGTCTTGAAATGCCCCCAATTTCCCTGTAACGAACCTCGATACTTTTCAGAGGTATCTGTCCTCGCAGAAATATCTTTTAGCGACGCTTTGCTAACAGCTCGAAGGAAAAAATGTGTCGAACAGGTGTCGGGGACAGTGTCTAAGGAACTAAAACGGGTGCAAAACGGAAGAAAAAAGGAGGCGAGAGGGAAAACAACGGGTCGTTCGCGCGCAAACAAAAGTAAAAGAACGACAGAACGATGAAGGAAAGAGATGAGAGTACTTAGTTGAAAGGGGGTCGGGCCGAGCATAGAGTTACGCTACTGAAAAGCGGTAGGAACAGTGGATCCGCTTTTAAACGGGGTTAAAGGAGGACGGAACAGTTTCCTTGTAAAACAGGCGAGAGAAGGAGGGAAACGAAGATGCATAAAATGTTCGGTGCAGACGCAAGGAAGGAGGAGAAAAAAAAAGACGCGGAAAAGCGAAGAAGGCTGCTTTCCATATACCTCGGCACCAGAACCCAACCGTGTTCCTCTATCGATCAGCGTCAGCTGGAGGAAATCGCTCGCTTTGCCGTTTCCAGTAATGGTGTCGCGTGTTTTATTACACTTTCCCAAAGAGAATCCTCCGAAGCCCTTCGAGCGTTTATTGAAACGTAAATGCTCCTCACGCGTCACCGACGAGCTTGCCCGTGGGATGCCGCATCATCGATGGCAGCTAGCGTTCATTCTGCCGCGTAATATTCCTTTCCCCCGGATAAATTACTAGATTTTTCCATAAAAAGTTCAATGATGTGAATTTTTCGATCGATGTTCATCGTGACGCACCATGTGCGTCAGGATTACTCATGGCACGATTCGTAGCGTTGATTTTTCAAGGTAAATTGTGAGATTCTTGTCTAGGAAGATTATTGATCTTCTTAATTTTTCACTTATCGATCGATGTACTCGGAGGTACATCGTCGTGACGCACCACATGCGTCACCCAAGGCATTTCTTATACGTCAAGCTTTCTAGTGTTCATTTCTTAAGATAA